TCAGCCTCCCAAGTTCTGAGGCTACTGCTGTGCACTACCATGCCTGGCTGTGGTGATTTAAAAAACAACAACAAAAAAAAGGCCAGGGAGATGGTTCAGTGGAATAAGTGCTTCCCTGGCAAGCACACAGGCCTGAGTTCAATCCCCGGTTCTGAAAAAAAAAAAAAAAGATTCAAAGGTAAGGACAAAAGTATCCTTGAGAAAGGGGTCCTGTGAACTTCTACCCATTGAATGCTGGCTTTCCCCTGATGTCCAGGCATCAAAGCTGCTAGTATAAAGTGACTGGAGAAGGAGGCCAAGCACTCCCTTTTCACAGCAGCCTCGGTAGGCCTCCGGCCAGCAGCCCTTCCAAGAAGAAAGGAGTCAGTAACTGAAGAAGGAAGGTCTTGTGACCTTGCATGATGAAAACTCTTATTATGTACCAAAGCGCAATAATCCCAGCATACAGTCAGAGCTCAGAACAGCCTTTGTGCAGGGCCAGGCAAGAAAGCACAGGATAAATGTTTGGAAATGATTCATTCATTTAATAATTTAAATTTCATAATTGAAATAATAATTTTCACAAAATAATAACTTAATTCATTTTCATTCACTATTATACCATTTCATTAATCTTCTCTAAAAAAGTAATTGAACATTGTAAGCATTATGCCAGCATGTCAATAAAGTAGATATGACATAAAATATTCTCCTGCAGTGGTCAGAACTATTTATGCTTTGCAAAATTGGCTGCATTCAAGAAGTCAGGGTATTAATATCACATCAGTTCTTCAGAAAAATGCCATGGAGTGCCATTGAAAATTTAACTATGATTATAGTAAAACTGCATTTGCTAAGGATAAAATAGTATTAATTAAAAATACCAAAAAACCATATTACCAAAAACAAAATGTCTTCTAGAGCCTAATTAGTATGGTCTTTAGGACGATGCAGCCTTTCCTGTTTTGGTTTTGCTTGACTCATTATGTAGCCCAGGCTTTCCTCAAACTTTCAGCAATCTTCCTACCTCAGCCTCCTGAGTGTTGAAATCACAAGCATCTACCACCACATTTAGCTTTTGTTATTTATTTAGGTAAGGCAACATGTTTTGCAAAAATCTTCTATGTACAAATACTACAAAATTTCCAAAAACACAACTATATAATCTATAAATCTAAGCACCAAATATTTAGAATTTATTGTGCTCAGGGTAAGCAAGTGATGTTAAAAATCTATTAAGCCTGTGACTATCCAGACAATGAGAATGAAAATTCAACATTATTAAGGATAAGGAACTTTTCAGATAGAACCTTTCTTTATAAGTATATCCTGAGAGACACCTGTAGGACTAGATAAAACCTGACCTAAATTCTTCTTAGCAGTATCTTTCTAGAATATCAAAGTGAATTGACATTTTAAGATAATATACATAAATAACAATATCAAAATCAAAATATGGACTATTGTCCTTTTTCTTGATGCAGGGAAATACCCAGAGAAAAATAACTGCATGTGACTATGTACAGGAGTGCCCAGACCCAAGTCTTTGGTAAGAAGTACAACATGGATATCAACTCATCTGCACAGATCGCTGCAAGCACTTCATACAGCAGCTCCACATTTTTCTTTGATAATTTATAGACAATTCATGGTTCCTTTTGTTAACATGTACATATACAACACACACATGGTTGTGTGTGAAATCAAAACAAATGAGAGTGGGAACAGCATTTGGCTTCCAATCCCACCCGGAAAGAAGCCTCGCGAAGGCAGCACTTCAATCTCATTCCTACTGCTCCCCCTAGCGGAATATCAGACAGACAGCATTTAGAAAAGGCTTCAGCAGAAAATTCAAGCATGTTTTTCTTTTTAAGCTATGGTGTAAAACAGAAAATTCTTTCTTAAAGAAAAGCTTCTTTAAAGACATATCCAAGATGCCTGACATAAAATATTAAAGAACATAGTGTATTATAGACAAATGCAGATCTCATTAATGTAGTATTCACAAATGTTGTACGTTGCTAGTACGAATGTTACATTACATTTTATTATAGGTCTTCTATGATTGCTGATTTAATGAAATACTATTGATTTTTGTTTATGTTTATATTTAGTTTTTTTATTATTTAAATATTAAATTACTATGATATCTTTTTCACAATTGTAACTTAAGAAATATAGACTTGGATGCTATTACATTAACACAGTAATATTTTTTAAAAACCATCGCAATACCTGAAAATCACATTGCCTGCTTGGTCTGCTTTCCAGGCTTTCACCAAAGCAAAATCCCCTGTAATTGCTTCTTCGAGAATAAACTGTTGGCCATTAAACTCCCTCACCTGCAGGAGACAAAGAGTGCACTGTCAGGCTTTTGCATGGGTCTGCTTGACTGTAGTCGGCTGGGACAAAGGCAGACAGGAGGGATACAAGCTAACAAGAAGCCTGTGTGCTTGTGTCCTTGGGTCAAAGGAGAGTCTCCAGAGGATCCTTGAGTAACACTAGCCAGCAAAGACTGAAAGGACAGTCCTAGGAGCAGTCAAGGGGCAGAATGTGTAAAGGCACACTGCCAAGCAAAAATTTAATGCATTGGAATAATTGAGTTCTACAGTTCTTAGGAATAGACTTTTTAATACTTTACTATTTACATGTATAGGTAGCATAGAGAATATGAAAAATAATCTCTTTCTACCCCAGGAAAAAAACCCTACATAAGTTAAATGAAATAACCTATGCACTGTTTATGAACATAAAAGTTATAAAAATTCATTCACCTTTAGTCCTCAATCTGCGATCTATAATCATGCACAGGATTTTAATCAAGATCTATAGTATTCATAAATTACTTTTGAGAGATCTGATGGACTCTATCTTCCCCCTCAAAGAGCATAATATATGCCTTCTTTTACTGAACTATTCATTTACCTCTTAACAGTTTTATTATTCTCGCCACAAAAACTCTGCATATTTTCCTTAGGCTTATTCATAGATGCTTCACGGTTTCTGTTGCTAATATGAATGTTACATTACATTTTATTATAGCTCTTCTGTGATTGCTCATTTAATGAAATGCTACTGATTTTTGTTTATGTTTATTGGTTTTAATTTACTACAGAACTTGGAGGAAGAAAACATAAAACAAATCTCTGGCTTTTTCTTCTTGAGAACTTGTCTCTGGAAATTGAAACAAATGAGAGTGGGAACAGCCTTTGGCTTCCAATCCCTACCCAGGAAGGAGCCTCGCGAGGGCAGCGCTTCAGTCTCATTCCTATTGCACCCCCTAGCGGAATACCAGACAGAGTGCATTTAGAAAAGACTTCAGCAGAAAATTCATTCAAGCATGTTTTTCTTTTTAAGCTATGGTGTAAAACAGAAAATTCTTTCTTAAAGAAAAGGTTCTTTAAAGACATATCCAAGTTGCCTGATATAAAATATTGAAGAACATGGTGTATTATAGACAAATGCAGATCTCATTAATATAACATTCACAAACTGCCTATCAATATATTTCATTTTAAAATGGTATACACACTTCTAAAATCTTACTGTTACCAATTATGATAACTGAGTGTTTTACATACATACCTAGAAAACTGAAGTATATTTTTGTTAACACAGGGCAAAAATCAAGCAATCGGCTTTTATTTCATATTTTAATTATATACTTTTCTGATGTCTACACACTAGCTATCCCTGAATATCACTGATTTCTAATACTTAGAGAGAGAACTAGTTTTATTAAACTAGCTATTGTATTTACTTGAGTTTATTTTATTTATTTGTTTATTTGGTACAGAAAATCGAACTCAGGACCTTGCACTTGCCAGGTGGGCTTATGCTGCTGCGCTAGCTCCCTAGCCCAGTATCACCTTAAAAGATACATGCATTTCAGATTTTCTTTCTTCCACTCTGTTTTCTCTTCAACCTACTCCAATCATATTTTCATTCCCTATATGCTACAAAAACCACTCCTTTAGTTGCCAGTTACCTCCATTTCTGCAAATCCACTAGTGTGGGTGCCACCAGTCCTTGAACTCCCCAGCCACTTCGCACTCTGGGGTAGTTGATCCCCACCTCTTTTCTAAAATGTTCCTGACTTTTAAATCATCAGATTCCCCTGGGCCTTCTCTTCACAGCTAATCAGTTTCATATTTCTTTACTGTTCTTCCTTCTCTTCCCAACCTATCTGGCAAGTGTCCTCTATCCACATGCAGGTCAAAGTCAAATATTTAGTCCTAAGGATTTAAGCGTAATTTGCTGGCACCCTAAGTTCCTATCCCAGCTCTAAACTCTCACCTAGTTAGAGCTCCATGCATAACTCCTCTTGGGTCTCCTGGACATCTCAAATGTACCACTTCTCTGACAAATAGCTCTTTGATTATTATTATGCCTTGCCTATCTCACTGAGCAGCATGTTTGATTCTTTTATACCCTATAAGCAATCTATCAGAAAATTAAGTCATCTACCTGGTGCTGTTTTTATAGACAAATGTACAATGCAAGTAATAGGGACATAGAAACTTCCACCCAGAATTCAGAGGAAGCTGTGAGAGGCAAGGCAGGGTGCTCCTGGCAGGCCAGTGTGCGAAGCTATGAGAGTGAAGCCAAAGCCAAAGAAGCCAAAGGCTTCAAGAAGCTAGGGATGACAGGAACATATATATTAAAGAAAAGTGCAGGCAGTTAGAGAAGCACCTCAGGAGAGTGGCCATGGGGGCTGTAATCAGCAATGCTATAGGTCAAGGGATTCTGAAGCACTTTAGAGTTTACACAGCACCACAGATTACCTTGGGTACTAGATATGAACTATAGGATTTAGTATTTTCCCTGCTAGTATTCTTTCTTGCCTTGTTCTGCTTCCTTTCTATCTCCCTATTTCTCGTATTGGCAATTGGAATGTTTATCCTGTGCCATTTGTATGTTAGAACAATTTAACTTTCTTTTTGATTCTTGCAAAAGCTCTCAGTTAAGAGATTGCCTTTAGTCTCAGAGGAGACTTTAGACTTAGACTTTTTTTTTTTTTTTTTTTTTTTCGCACCAGGGATCAAACTTGGAACCTTGCACTTGCCAGACAGGTGCTTATGCCTCTGAGATATATCCCAGCCCAAGATTTGGACTTTTAAGCAGTGCTGGAGCTCTTAACTCTTAGAGATGGCCTAAATGCATTTTGCATAATGAGATGGATATGAATATTGGGGATTAGGAATGAAATGTTATGGCTGAGATCTAAAATGGCCCCCCAAAACATCTCATGTGCCTAAACTGTGACCAAATCATGGGTGCCCTGAAGCTGACTTCCTGTTAGGAGGTAGGGCTGGCTGGTAGCAGCTCACTGTGGGCAGCTCCTCCCTCTTCCTCTGCCTGCTGGGTGCCATGGGGTGAGCACCCTTTCCTCCAGCATGTCCTTTTGCCCTGCTATTTCTAACTTGAAACCAGCCAAACATGGACTGAACCATGAGCCAAAACAAACCTTTCCTTCATTAAATTTGTCAACCAGAAGAAAGTGAATAGTATACCCTGACTGTCCAGTGGAACACTAGGCTCCTGGCCATTGATCACCCTTTGCCCTTGACTTCCTCGCCGTTCCTCCCACTATACATGTTATGTATTTGTCCAATGACCGTCACTTCTTCTACTACCGAAGGACTGAGACTACAGAACCATCCATTTTTACAGTGCTTAGAATATGCCCAGTACAGTGAAAGACCTCAGTAAATGCCACTGAACTAACGAATTTATTCATTTTCTTTTCCAACCATAAGCAAGGGAAATAAAAAGTTAAGATTAACAGTAAATAATTTGTAATATTCCTGGGGGATTAAGACATAATTATAAAAAAAACTAGATCCCTACACCTGGATTCAGGCATTAGTGAACCCAGAAAAGACTCTAGTACATATTTTCCCAGGGTAAATTAATGCTACAATTTCTAATAAGCTATCAAAATGTTAACCCAATCTTTCAGGCCCTTTTATTGTATATTCTAAAGCTGCATTTTCATAATTAGGCTCCTTCTTTATCAAGAAGCTTTTTTAAATCTAATTAGTCATTAAAGAAAAAAGAAGACTGCACATGAAAAATATGTTCATAAAAGTTTTGAATCAATATAGGTCACTCCCAGCAGAAAGCAAAGCTGCAGACGGAGGACACAGCTGCGGATAATACTAGGGAGAGGGGCATTTCCAATGACCTCTTACCTTCCCCAGAACAAGATGGCAGAGCCAGCAGCCCTACAGGCACAGGCACTGCAGTGTAAGATAGTCCTCCACTTACCACATTCACTTTGTCAAAGCCATAAGCTCAGCAGTTTTGCAAATCCCCCACCAATAGATAACTCTTTTCAGCCATCTGGACAAGGTGAATGGAAAAGTACTAAAAAATGTAATAATGAAATATTGGCTTGTGCAATTTCTAAAATTATCTTAAATCTTAGTATCAAATATCTATGTCTAAAGGTCTCCTCTTATGCAATATGCAAGAAAGTTGCTGGAGATGGGGAAAGATGGGATGGTTGGACGGGGCAAGGAAGAAGTAAAAAGCATCAGCATGCTAGATGTGCATGTACCAATACCTCCCAAACACATGAGTGTGGGGCTGCAGACGCGCCACAGTGAATACATTCATTACGTATCACAAACTAAATAAATAAATAAGGCTAAAGATGCAACTCAGGGGTAGAGTGCCCCTGGTTTCAATCTCCATTATGAAAAAAAAAAAAAAAAAAAAAAACCTTTCTAAATTTCTCAGAGCACAAATAAAAAATGGAGAAAGCCAGGCCTCGAGAACTGAGCTTGCCTCATCCCACTCAGCATTTTAAGTATATCTTAATTATTCAACAAACAGCTCATGTTTGCTCAAGGTACAAAATATGAACTTGATAAATATGAAGTTCATTATTTCATTATGTAATTATAACCTGCTTTTCCAGATTTCAAACATATTTTCCTTTCTCAGTCAGATGAGGATAATGAGTTTGAGCGTGAAAGTTTAATCCATGTGAATCAAACTACTTCTCTGATGCATAATCAACAATCAAAGATTCCTCAACTTGTTGATATCTTTCATAAAATCAGGTAACTAATCTTTGGTAGCATATTATATGTAAAAAAGAAAGCTTCTTTTCTTATTTATTCTAACTTCTCTATGTGCTTTTAATTAAAAGCAGATTATATTCAAATTTAGCCCCAAGCATCATGTAACATATTTAAGGAAATAAATGCTTCTCACAAAGGTGACTTTACACTGCGAATCTACCGAGGGTCCCACGCAGAAAAGATAACCTGGCATCAGTTGGGCGGGAGCGTGTCTTACCTCTCTCGGCTTACTGGCAATGGCAATGCTGCCGTCCTTGTTGTACTTGATGGGTGCGCCTCCTTCTTGCACCAGGGTCCCAAACCCTGTGCTGGTGTAAAATGCAGGAACTCCGGCTCCGCCTGCGCGAATCCTCTCTGCAAGCGTGCCCTGCGAACGAGCAACCAGCACTCTAAAACGCCACCAAGCACACAGCTGCCTGGGACTCAGAAGCAGTGACAGCCCTGGGCTCCCACTTTCACACACTTATAGTTCCAAAATGTACTCGGCACTGGAGAGTCTTGTGCATATTTCCCTAACACGTCATGTTGGAATATCAATTTTAAAGAATTTTCTGTGTCTCTATTCAGCATTCACTTCATTCTTAGTCCACACTCAAAATCCAACTGGTTGTTTGTCTAGTCACACTTTTGGGTTCCAGGATTCCCAATGGCTTGATGCTTCAAGTTTTAAATCTGAATTATGTCACTTTAGCTATCTAAATTTTTAAAACATCATCAAATTTTGTGTTTTATTCTGTGCCATATAAGGCCTAAACCCTTTCCTCATTAATAACAATAGTTCAATAATATAAGAGCTCAAATTTATCTTAGAATATATTTTTAACTAGTTTATAAATATTTTCTTTTAAATTATTTAGCTAAAGAAAAAGGTAGGCAAAGCGTACAGCATATGAATGCACTAGTTTTAAGAAACAAGATTACTTCACACTTTAATTCACAATAGAGAAAGCTGCAAGTGAAGTTTCTTTCTTTCTCCCTATGATCATCCTCTTTCCCAGGGACAACCCTGCCCTCCCCTAGTAACTTCAAACCTAGGGACCTTGGTCTCTCCCACCTCCAACTGACTCTGCTCTGAAGGCTTCACTGGAGCATGAACTCTGGGCTTGAACTTGTCCTGACGTGGTCCCTGACACTGAAACCTACTGCTGAGGTATTGCTGTATAATGTCTTACTCAATAGCTGGCTAATCAGTAGTAAGAATTAGGGTAAGTATTAATAACAGTCCATTCATACTGTCCTAACCTACATTAACTGGGCCTTCGAAATAATTAACTCAAAGAAGAGACTAACCATGAGGAGCCAGACACTGAATCATTCAAGTCCGTACATGGAATCTTCTGTCGTAGGGGGGACGTAGGGCATCACTGGAAACCTCCAGCATGCTGGTTCTATTTTCTCAGATGAAGAGAGGAAACTGCTTTGTGTTGCATTTTAAGTAAACAGCAGTCAAGGACTAAACTACTGAAACAACCATGGCAACACCTTCTATTCTGAAACATTTTTATGTGAACCTCTCCAAATATTCTATTCCTTCTCTCTTTCCAATTAAGCAATAGTCTGAAAGTAGAACATTTCTGTAGATTCTCTGCACATACCACCAAGTAGCCAGCTTCACCCCCAAAAGAACTATAATCTCTACAGCTTCATCAGCACATCTCCCTAAAGCTCTCAGCTGTAAAAGAAGCTGACAGAGCCATAGCTTATTTACCTACCCTCCACTGAGTGAGGAGAGATTCATCAACTTGTTTTAGCTTAATGGGAATAAAAAAGAAAAGCAAGTTTCTCTCCTATATCATACTTTGACAAAATAGAAGATAATGCAAAATGTATGGCAGGCAACTGAAAGATTAATTTTCAGTAGTTCCACAATGTAAAATATAAACTATTTCAAGCTGTAATGTAAAAATAATGTATGTTATGAATTGAACTATGTCAATTTTAAATTAATAAAGTAAAGCCCTAAGCCTCGACCCAACCATACTTAGAGACAGGGGCTTCAGGGGGGAAATAGTGACAGTTAAAGGAAATCATAAATATGGAGCCCTAATCTGATAGAATCAGCATCCTTGTAAGAAGAGGCACCTGACAGCCCACTCACACACTTGTTCTCTTCCCCATCTCTCGGTCTTCACAGAAAGAAGTCAGCCACTGCAAGCCAAGCAGAGAGCCTTTATTGGGAACAACTCTGCCTGGTACCTTGATCTTCAACTATGAGAAAAAAGATTGCTGGTGCTCAAGCCAATCAGTCTATGATACTTGCTTACACCAGACTATGCAACCTAGGAAAGTGTATCTTTGTTTATTGACAAAACTGAAGGTGAAAACTGAGTAAGCATCAACATCCTATAGTGATGGACAGAGAGACAGTGCTGCGGGGTGCCTAGGTCCAACAGCAGTACTGTGACAGAACCGTGTCCTGTAAGTGCTCTCTCTCAATCAGCACTGACTTCATTACCAATTATTTTCTTAATTTTGCTACATTACATTGCCAGCAACTTGATGAAGTCAGAGGTAATATTACTTTCACATAGAATGCAAGGCTCAGACTCTGATATGAAGGTAGAGCATGTCAGAACAGAATTGCAGCACATACAACTCATAGACACCTGCTTTACCCAAATGATCAAAACGTTTGCCTTCTCCTATGACAGAGGATTCATGCAGCTGGGAGATAATGTAGAAAAGAAGGGAACACTTTCCAACTGATTGTTGCAATCACTTGTCTTGTGATAACATCAGTTCTCTGGGGATGTGGCTCTGATCCCAGTAGTCATGCTAACAGAGCCGGCTTCACCCTCCAGGGTATTCAGGCTTCTGAGGCCTCAGCAAGACTTGATCACTATCACTTGCAAATTTCTATCTCTACTACAATTCACAGAAACTGATTTCAGGAGTCTGTACACACTTTAGCAAGTCTTTTTGCTTGCTTCTAACATTACATTTATAGTGTCAAACTCACAATTTTACACCACATCCTAAGTATTTTTATTAGAAATAATAATACAGCACTGGGGAGATAGCCCAGTGGTCTAAGCACCTGCCTGGCAAGCGTAAGAATCCAGGTTCAATCCCGATACTGCATGCTTGCCAGTCCCAGAACCCTGGGCACACCATGCCAGGCACACTGTGTCAGCCACTGAAACCCAGCAGGGTGGCACACGCCTGTAAACACAGCACTGGGGAGGCTGAGGTAGGAGGATCACTATGAGTCCAAGCTGTGTAACAAGACCCTAAGCTGTGTACCCGATAAAGTTTAAAAAAAGAAATACTAATACAGTGGCATAAAATATTAATCCTCTAAGAATTATTAGGTGTGGCTTAGGAGCAAAACTTCTTGGTCCAGCATAACAGCATCCTGTCTGGCATAAAGAAATGTTTAGGGGGGAAATGTAAATTTATTAATAAGTTACTATATTATAAAGAAATGCAGAGAAATCTTCTCACCTGAGGTGTGAGCTCTACTTCTAATTCACCAGATAAGAACTGTCGTTCAAATTCTGCATTTTCCCCTACATATGAAGAGACCATCCGTTTTATCTGCTTGGATCGAAGTAAAAGGCCCAAGCCAAAGTTGTCAACCCTGGAAGAAACATGGAGCTTATCATAAGAAACATGGCGCTTACATTCAGAAACGTCCACTAAAACACTACCACCACATAATGTTTTAAAAAGATAAAATTTTATTAACTTAGAGGAAAACATACCCTCTCTGATAATATATTTATTACCTCTAAGGCAGTGTTTTGGATTAAGATTGACAATCTTGGGGCCAGGGAGGTGGCTCAGTGGAATAAGCGCTTCCCTGGCAAGTGCAAGAGCCTGAGTTCAATCCCCGGTTCCACAAAAAAAAAAAAAAAAAAAAAGATAGACAATCTTTTTAAAAACAGTTAAGGAAACTAAAGCTTAAAAGGTTATGTGATATTTTCCCCCCAGTGTCTCAGGCAGCTATGGACATAATTAATTCCCAACCAGTATCCATTCATAACTGTCAAAATTACCTTTAAAATAATAATAATTGTCAAAATTTTTTGTTTCTTACTGCTGTAAAGTGACCCTCAGTTAGAAACTAAGAGATAGATTCATTCTAATCCTGTACTTTGTAGTAATATGTCAATACAGTGCAATATAATAACCTCAGGGCTTGTGAGAAAGCTTGGCGGTCTAAGCGCCTACCTGGCAAGTGCAAGGACCTGGGTTCTGTCCCCAGGACCTCATACTGTGCCAGCCCCAAAACCCCAGGAGCACCGTGCTGTCCACTGCAACCAGGTCTGGTGGTGCACGCCTATAATCCCAGTGCTGTGGGAGGCTGAGACAGGAGGATCACTACAAGTCTGAACTACATAGCAAGACCCTGTACCAAATAATCAATCAGTCAATCAATCAATCAATCAATCAATCAATTTGTTAAAAATATAATTATCTCAGAAGAAAATCTGGATGGAGAAGTTCTTTCTGTGCTAAAAAAGAAAGAGTGACATTCTTGTATTTAATAAAACAGAACACTGTCATATCCACTAAAATATAAATCAAAATTATAAATGGCTATAAACATTTTCCTGTATCATAGATATCTGGCTCAAGAATACTAACATACTTGACCATTCTTAACCAAAACAAATCATCAAATTAACCACAAAACAGTGAAAAAGTTATAGGTAAGAAGAACCCTGTATCTGTTAAATTACATATACTTTAATTTAATATCCATTTTAAAAGTAGTATTCAATTTGTTCTTAGATTAATGAGGGCAGTTCTGGCTCTTTTTATTAGATAAAGGCTTTTAGTTTTTTGCCTTACTTGATATTTCTATAATAACTTTCAAACAATATACACCTGGAGTATTAAATAAAATCAGTGTGAATAGGTAAGTTAATAAGTGAATGAAAACCTTTCCATTCCCAGTCACCTTATCCCCCTCCACTTAAAAGTTTCAGAAATATTTTAACCAATGACAGAAAGAAAATACTTACAAAATAACAAAGAAAAATGGATTTTAAGCTGTATTTTTTTTCAGGTGCTTGAGATCAAAGCCAACATTTGAACATGCAAGGAGAGTGTTCTACTGCTAAGCTATATTTCAAGGTCCTATAAAACTTTTTTTTCTGTATTGAGGACATGGTCTACAGGGACTACAGGGTCTCACTATGTAGATCAGACTCATAGTAATCCTATTTTCAGCCTCCCAAGCACTGGGATTACAGGTGTGCACCACCACACCCAGTCTCAATCACTATCTCAGCATGCTGCATGATTGGGGCCAGCACTATAAAACTATTTTTAAGGGAAAAATACATTTAGTGGTAAAAACAACAATGAGATGCCACCACAAACATCTCATTGTCTAAATAAATAGAGGATCCATCAAGTATTTGATATTGTCAAAGATGTGAAGTATAGAATTCTCATGTATAAAGAGGAAATGAAATTTGATTTATTCATTTTGGAAAAATTGGTAGCACAATGTATTAATGTTGAATATTTATATGCTAGGATTCACCAATTCTTGGATCTGCACCAAATGTAGAAATGCAGAGTTCATCAAAATACATATACAAGATACTATTCTCTTCATTCCAGCCAAAATTAGAACTTACCAAATATCCATACACAGTAGAAGTGGTTTATCCACTCAATGGAATATGAAACAGCACTGAGAATGAATAATCTTTAACTACTAGCAATAATGGATGAATATTGGACAAAATATTGAGAAGCCACACAAAGGGACAAATGCTGAGTTATTACTTTTATATGAACTTCAAGATCAAACCAAAACCAACACATAACAGAAGAAGTGAGGATAATGGTTAACCTAGGTAGTGGGAAAAGACAGTAGTGAGTGGAAGGACCATGAAGGGATTTCGTGGGGAAACTGGTTCATGTCCTGCTTCTTTAGCTGGGTGTTGGTTACCGAGATGTGAAGTTTGTAAATCTCCTTAAAAATCTGTTGCTTGTTCTATACTACTTTATACTCTGCTTCAAGGTTTTGTTGTTTTTGCTTTTCTTAAGACAGAAAGACAATGGCAAAGGACAGAATGCTTCTAAGAGACAGAAATCCTTATTTACTTTCTCAGCCTCTTCAATTCCTTTAGTGCTTTTATGATTCTTCCTGTATGGAGCCTGGAATGTCTACAAGGTCACTCACTCATTCAGTAACCCTGTACCGTGCCCTCTACCCCAGCGCTAGGATGCCTGGCTCTGGGGCTACAACCATGAATAAGCCTTGCCCTGTCTTATAGCCTGGAAGTTCTGATAGCATAGAGGAGATTAAGAATATAAGCCTAAACTTTACAACAGAGGGATGGATGTGCTGAGAGAAGTCTGCATACTGTATGCCAAGATCACTGAAGACTGAGAGCAAAACTCTTGATGGAGAAAAGTGTCAACAAAAGCCTAACTGAAGGAAAAAGCCTTACAAAGTGACATAAATGGATGGAAGCTTACAGTATACACAAGTAATTGAAGATATCCAAAACCCAAAAGCAGAGAGAGTATTTAAGAAATTTTGAAATAGCCCAAAGAAGAAATAATGGGCATTTGAACTAATGTACAGGCAACAGGAATGGAGAAAAATGGACAAATCAAGAGATATTTGGGGAAAAGGATTCATTCTTAAATCTTTGTTATGGTTTGTGTCTAGTTGTCCCCCCAAAGCCTCATGAAGCCATGGGGTGGACATCTAGAGTTTGTAATTAACTCATGATCCACTGGGACTATGGATGTGTGAGTACTATACCCAGCCTGCGGCAGATAGCTTGAATGCAACTTAAGGAAGACTTGCTTGCAGCCACCATGATAGGCTGCCCTCTGCCATGTGCCACTCTGCCTTGTTGCCAGCTGAGTATGGACTGAAACCTCCAGAAACCATGAGCTAAATAAAAGTTTCCTTCCTTCATTTTGGGTGTTAAGTATTTGTCCCAACAGTGACAGAAGAGTAACTTAGTCTCTTTGCCCAACTTGGCATAGACACAACTCACTGTAGAATTCTGGGCTTGGCAATGGAATACAGGAAAGTGTGGGCTGAGGGAAATTAACTGAATGGGCACAAGAGACGTCCACTTCTTGGACATGGAAACACATTGTAAGGCTCAGCTCTTCTGGTGCTGGGACAAAATACCTAATACCATAGCTTCAAAGGTTTATTCTGGCTCACAGCTTCGGAGGTTTCAGTCTACGGCCAGCCAGCCCCAGTGCAGGAGCACCAGGAAAGAAAGGTCTGCTGGCGCACAGCAGCTTAGCTTATGGTGCCAGGAAGCAGAGCACAGAGAAAGGCCACCACACAGGAAGGCACAAGGACTGCATGCTGTAGGCTGCACTAATCCTTCAAGCCATCAAGTTGAAAAATCAAGATTTCGATCATGGCAGCTTGTGTGACAAGCTACAGACGTTTCTTTTAATACCTGCTCTTCCTCTGCCTTTACTCCATTCTCCAGGCTCATAATCCTCACACTTACGGGTGCCCATTTCAGCTCAAATGACTCCTTAAAATTTATCACTCTTACCTACCTTGCCACATTATGCACCTAAAAATGTCCAGGGAACAAGTGACTGTTAACATCCCCACCCATCAGAATGAATGATAGAATAGCTACATTCTCTCCTGTTTCTAAAATAGAACCAACATGCACATATGTATTTTCAGGAGAAGCCTGTGGACGAGATGGGACTTCCCCACAGGTTAATACACTTGTCCACTAGAGGTCTCCATATCACAAAAGATTCTCCATCTTTCCAAAACTGTCTTAGCAATGCTCATTCACATGTGCCTTCTCACTAGTCTTTGTATTATTTTTTCCCTAACCAACTATTAATAGCTGGATAGACCTCCAAGTTCTTCCGGTTAACAATTCTACCTCCCCAAACAGCTTCCCCTGTAGCCTTCCACATCTCATCTGACGGTGAGGACAATACTAACACAAGTAAATTTAACCTTTTTTCACTGAAATCTACCAAATAAATCCTGACTCTATCTTCAAATGCCACCAGAATTAGACCGCCCTCACTCTCACTTCTGTGTCCTGTGCCATCTCTTGCCTGACTTCCACAGAAAATGTTCCTGTTTGTGATCCTGTCCCTTACAATTCACTGCCTATATTGAAATTAAATCAAATCTTATAAAACAGCAGATGAACGCACTGTTCAAAGCAATGAGCTCACCTACTCAGAAAAAGGTACGTGTCTCTAGAGCAGCCTGCCAGGCCCATGTGATAAGGTGCCTTTATGCGTCTGATACCACTTACCACGGTCCTCCCTGCTTGCTTCTCTCCCTCTGCTGCCCTCCTACCGTCTCGCAAACATGCCAGGTCGTTCCGCCTGGGTCTTCCCACTGGCCCTTCCTTACGCTCGCCCACAGAGGCCCACAGGGCTCACTCCCTCACTTCTTCAAGCCCCTGCTCACATGTCAACTCATGGAGTCCTATCCACACTGAACACTGAAACCATACCCCTCCCCTTCTGTGCTTCCAAACCAACTCGCTTTTTCTCCTTTCCATGGTTCACAGAATTTTCTAACATACTGAACTGTTATTTTTAAGTTGATATGATTTATATCATTTACTTCATTCCAGAATGGAAGGTGTACAAAGCAGGCATCTTGGTCTGTTTTTTCACTTTGGTACCCCAACCACCTGCAGAGATACACAGCACATACAGAGAACTACATATATTAAACAAACTTACTGCTCATTTCCACTTTGGGCCCACCCCCACCTGCTGACTCCTTCCTAGTAAAAATGAAAATCTGTAAGTCATTATTTTATGTTCTCCGCCCCCATGGATCTATTTTCCAACATCCAACCTGCTCTGTACCTGGAATGACCAATTTTAGAACAAATCACAGCACTGTCTCTGAGGCTTTGAAATGGGCTCAGCCAATGGGAGGCACTATCTGGAGGATCAGAGGCGCCAGGATTTATGTTCAAAGGGCTGGCTCCTTCACAAGTTCCAAATTATGCTGCTTCTTACATAACTCCAGCACAGATAATAGCTGGTGATCACAAAACTCCTCTGTTACTAATTCCACATTTGCTTTTACTTTAAAATTTTCCCCTTACTTCCTTTTTACCTTTCCTCCCTCTCACTCTTATCTCTGTGTTCAAAGTTATTGATACAGAACCAGAAATTTTAGTCAGAGTAAGAGATGGCATTTTGGGTCTTCAAAAAACTCCTCTACATAAATAGTATAAAACTATGAACAAATTACTGTAAGAATATTAGCAGGTAGAATTTATTAGCCTTCCACATATAAGAGGGGCATCCCAATAGTTATCTACATAACAGCCTTCCTGGACTATATTATAAAATAATCTGTTCACGAAGTAAGTACATGTAACATAACAAACCTATTCTTTCACTGTGTCTGTGATTTAACTGGTTAATATACATGGTTTACTGTGAAACTTCTGGTTCAAACTAGCTTATAAACCAAAGTCTTCCAAATATCAATGAACGTTGCATTCTTTATTTTGCTTACTTTTTAATAAACTCAGATCAAACTATCAGTTCAGCTGTATGATCTTTAAAAGTGGTTTATCTCATCAAAGCTAAATGTTAGTATTTCTAACTAAGGTAAATGGTATCTTAGCACAAAAGGTATTACAGATTAATAAAAAGAAACATAAATCCCTGAGCTTTAGATCAACTTCCAATCCAGGCAGATTTTTGCATTAAATAAGCCTGGCCAAATGAAAAAGCATGACTACTCCTAATTCCAAACTCTGTCCATTTACCCCACAATTCAAAGCATGTCATTGAATGTTCACCAACACAGTACAGCTGAGTTTTATTTAAGGTTAGCTGATTTTTTTGGCTAAAACAAAGCCTTTAGTCCTATAGAATTCCAGGATTTAAACTCTCCTGATTAAGAAAACTGCCTCTGAGGGTTTGCAACACATCTTCCCTGTGTTTAGTAAAGCAGGTTATCAGCAGTGATTCTGCATCAAGAATGTATAGTCATAAGCCCTTGAATGGCTTATGACTGTAGTGGTCCCATGAAATTTTATCACCTAGTGACCTCATGAGCATCTTAGTTTGTAAATGTGTACTCTCTGAGTTCATTTGACGACCAAATCACGAGTATACATTTTTCAGAATATATTCCAGTGTAGGCTTCCATTTACACCAAGGATAAAAATATGCACCAGAAAACACTGACAATTGAGTACCAAAGTAGAAAGAGAGGCTATACGATCTCCTACCCTTCTTGGAACAAGTGGAATCTTTGGTGAAAGAATTTACCATGCATTTCTGAGCATTTTTTTTTTTTGTGCTCTAAAAATACTAATTGTTGGGGCTGGTGAGATGGCTCAGTGGTCTAAAGCACCTACTTAGAACAAGCTTAGCAAAGCACAGGGACTGCCGTTCAATCCCTCAGCACCACATGCCAGCCAGCCCTGCCCCCAGGTGGGCTGAGCTGGCCACACACACACACACACACACACACACACAATAATAAAATACATTAAAAAAATACTAATTGTTAGCACAGACACAGGAACGTGGGCCAGCAGCATAAGGAACCTCTGGGAAGGTGGCTCTGTTCGGGTCTTGAGCTTTCCCTCCTCCCACACTAACATCCTTAGCTCTTTCCAAGCGAACAGATACTTTGCTCTTTTTTGCCACATTTTTCTATTCTTGGCCATGTAAAAGCAATGAAGCTCTTTTGTTCACCTTTCTCAGAGTATATTCTAACTGTTACACAATTCATTACCCTGTTGATCAGCAGCATCCCTCGTAAGCATGGCACAATCTGGAAAACCTCACCAAGTGCTGATAATCAGAGAAGTGTTTGTAATATATATAAAGTCAGACTAAAGGGCAATGAAGTATGTTCATGAAAAACAAAGCAAGCAGGAAAAAGCTACTCCTCTAGCTTGTCCCCAGCATCCACAGCAACAGAGGTGATTTCTAGTTTTGTCCAGCTCCAATGTGACAGGACTCTGAGATTCACAGAATAAGCACAGGAGAAAATATAAACCCACTGTAAGTAACAGTATCAATATGTGGTATACATTTAAGAGAAGACATATTTTAAAATACAACAAAAAGTTAATTCTCTAGTGAAACTAAGAAAAAAACATCAGTGAGAACTAGAGAAGTTCTATACTTGGACAAGCCTTCCTTAAAAACATCATTTGAGTGAATCTTAAAAAGATAAAAGAATACAGACAGGCAGAAAAGAATGAGAAACTTCCAGTTGAAATGATAGCATATACAAGCTCAAAAAAAAAGAACAGAATCGAGGCATGGTGATGTACAAACTTGTAATACCAGCACTTGGAAGACTAAGGCAGGAGGAGAGCTGTAAATCTGAAGCCAGCCTAAGCTACACAGCAAGACCCTGGTCTCAAAAAAAAAAAAAAAAAAAGACAGAACACAAACACAGCATCGATTTGCTTCCTAATTAATTGATATTATTTAGGCCCAATTGCTTTAATCATAAATTAAACTGCCAATCTGGCTCTTTTTTTTCAATCTTCAAAGTCTTTCTCTCATTGTTGAAAACAGATAAATTACTATTTTGTATACAAATACCTTTCTCCAACATACCTAGATGGACCTTAATAATGGCTTAGTTATGGCCATTTTGCTCTTTTCTGTGTATTTAGTTCAAGGTCTACAGGGTCTCACTACACAGATCAGACTTATAGTGATCCTCCTGTTTTCAGCCTCCCAAGTGCTGGAATTACAGGCATGCACCACCATGCCCAGTCTGAGTTGTTGTCTCAGCGTGCTACAGGGGCAGGGCCAGCATGGCACACCAGGGATCGAACCCTGGTCCTACGCCTTACTAAGCAGACACTTTAGTCCGCTGAGTTATCTGGTCAGCCCTTTTATGGGCATTTTTATACACAATCCTACCATGCTACACACATGTCCTCCACTGTCCACCATGACCATCAGTAGTTAATGATTCTCATGACTCTTTAGGTATCATCCAGGGTACTGGCATAACAAAAAGAAAGCATTTAAATCATCTCAAATTGATGTCCACCTTGCCTTACAAATGATCTAAAATAATAAAGAACATAAGAGATCATATTTAAATTTTAAAATTGAAACTTCAACCTGAAAATATATATTCT